AAAAAAAGGTTACCTTTTAGCCTGAACTAGGAACAAAAATATTATTTTATAGCAATATAAGCATATCTTATATAATTTTTAACTGAACTATATCTTTCAATTAATCTGTCTCATATTTTAGCATATTTTCTAAAAACTGAATACATATAGTAATTTATATATAGTATAACAAAAATCTAAACAAACCAATTTGTCATATGGTTACTTTCTCTGTAATAATTCAAAAATAGTAAAAATAAACAAAAATCATCTTTTATAAGAGGAAACCCAATTCTCTATTTTTTTAAAAAAAAAAATGGAAAAAAAGGAAGAAAGAAAAAGCTGCAGAACTTTGGTATAAGGAGTTTATCTAGGTAGAACCAAAAATCGTAAGCTAGAAGAAGGAGTATATTACTACTTAATCTAGTCCAAGTCATTTAGTAAGTTTGTTTGCAATATTTCTACAAGTTATCCAGTAGGTCAAGAAAAACCTAAGACTTGCTAAGATTAGTAGCAAAGCTCCAATAGGCTTCTTACAAAATTAGCAATAATAGTTCAAAGACTACATTCTACCTAGTTCAGAGTATTATCCCTCATGCTATTTAATATTTTTTTCTTGCTAGGTGGTTGTAGTTATTTCTTGTAATCTTTTTTTATTTACTCTATTTCAGTTTCAGTAATCATCAGAAAGAGTGTTGTTTTGATCATATCTTTTTAAATATTGTATCATATTTCTAATATTTAATTAATATTAATATAATATAATTTACAGAGTTACAATTTTAGAAACAATAGAGTTTACTATAAGTTAGATACAAGATTTGAAAAATTATTCAAATTGTTAACAATAGGATTTGAACTTTAAACTTATTGTATAATGATCTAACAACCTATCTACTTCACTAGATTATCAGATCTTATATACAAAACTAATAAAATCTTATTAGCAATATAAGCTGTTTTAAAAAACAAAAAAAAAAATAAAAATAAATAAAAATATTTATATTTCATAATCTACTAAACCAATTTTAGTAATTTTGGTATTATTAGAATCAAAATACTTGTATATACAACTTTAATTAGAAAGTTTTATATTTTATTAAATATTAAAAATTCAATTTTCAAAATATTTTACTAAATGAATTTTTTTTATTTCTTTAATTAAAGTTGCAAAGACAAATATTCTAATTACAATGATATCAAAAGTGCTAAAATTGGTTTGGTAGATCACGAGATATAAGTATTTTTATTTTCGTGCTTATATCAAGATTTAATATAATTGTAAAGATTTAACTGTTTATATCTTGCAATCCTATCGAAAAATTTTGGTAATTTTGGTATTTTTAGAATCAGATAAATAACCGTTACAACTTTTATTAAAGGCTTTTACATAATAAAATATTTAGATATTTACTGACTTCTAATCAAGAAATCTTATATCTAATCGTTGCTATGCGATAATTACGTGTAGCTGTGCTCGTAGCAATTCCCTAATTTATTGGCTCATGGTCACGTGATTATACACGGATCCCTTTTAAGAATAAATCAACCAATCAGCGTAAACAAAAACGCGAAAACGGATGTCTAAACTATTTTGGGGTACTAGTAAAAAATTTAAAAAAAATACAAGAACGAAAATTTTAATTATAGAAATACACTAAAAACCAATCCTAAATATTTAATTGTTACTAATTTTAAATGAATAGCTGTTAAATTAAACTCCGCTTTATCGTTACTGAATAAGTATATCACGTGTCTTGCAGGAAACAATAAATTACGCGACTTTAAAATAGGAAAGCTTATTCGCTTATCGCGTTACTTCTGACTAGTCAATCGAACTTTAAACAGTCATTTGAAACAAACTTACTTTTATTGTTTAAGTATCGCAAATAAAATATGTTCTTTTTCTTAATCGGTAGGTTTATTCGGTTTTAGAAATGATTTCAAACTACATCAGGATCTTCTTTATTAACTTTTATTTATGATTTCTGAGTAAGGCTCTCTTGTACCACAAATTACTCGCCTGAATTCCTTACCTGCAAGATGTCCACATTGCCTTGATCCTTCTTCAACTGTATTTCTTCATAAGTACCAAAATAAACTTTCAGTATTTTTTATCCCCGTTTGGTGGTTCAAAGCAAAATTTCTCTGGATTTGTGAACGATGCAAATGGACAGGAAACACAAGGCCTGATGATGAACAGGTCAGACAGAGGGAAAAAGCAGAATTGACGTTGCGACAACGGCAACCTTTGCCAACTTGGGTAAAATCATCGAATACATATTTTTTATTTTTTGATCACAGAGTATCATTTAACCTTTTTATCAAATTGCTAGGGATTGAGAAAGTGCAAGGCTTGTAATAAGGAGGTAAAGATTATAATTAATCAAAATAAGCACATATTTCAATTATATCTTTTATTTAAAAGATTTTTCTTGAAAATATTTTTACCTTGTAGATTAACGTTTCTGGTCGCATCAAGTACTGTCCATATTGTGGGAATCCTGTTCAGATCTAAGGTAAAACTCTTAGGATCGTCCATTAAAAAAAAAAATGTAATTGATGTCATTCGCAAAACCGAAATATAAATAAAATTATGATATTTTATATATAAATTACATAATTTACTTTATTAAAACAAATAACTCTAGCCCAATTATCAATTGGGATCTTTGCTAGGAAAATCACCCTTCGGGATTTTCCGAACGGGCCAATTCGGAAAGACTTAGACCAGAACATCAGTTCTTATTTATATGCAAATCATCT